GTGAAGCTGGGCGACGGAGTTGGAGAGTTTCAACCCTTGCGTCACGTTTTATTTATTTTATTTTTTTAAATACAAAAACACGAAAAATTTGTGACAAAAGTAAATAAAATCAGGTCACATCAAATTTTATAAAAAATTTATATTCTAGGAGTGAATGACTATAAATATTAAGATCAAGATTTTTTTGAGAAGCTTAGTAAACGAGTATATCCGCACATCTCTTTACTTCTTTAAATGCATGTTCGAAGGTAATAATCAATCTTTTAAAACCAAATTCTCGACTTTATTGATAATACCAGACAGATAATGGTTATCAAAAAAATTATATTGGATAAGCAAGAGTGCTTCCACATAATCAGAGTATATGTTGATTTTATTGAACTGAGCATTCTAACAAAGCTAAAATCCTTTTAAAATGCTCAAGAGTTCTGCTATAGTGCTTGGTTGATAATCAAGGTATTTGAAAAATTTCTTGATTCAATTGCTTTTATCAGCCTGTATGATTCCATCACAAGTTGCAATTTTAGTGGAATTGACAACCCCGTCAATGTCAAGGCAAATCCAACCTGTTTTTGAAGGTATCCATTGTGCCTCTAATCTTTTACAATCACAACTGAGGAGATTAACTCTAAATTGAAGCCTCATGTCATTGGAGATTTGCTAGTTACTAGAGAAAGTAATATTGACATTCTAAATGGTTTTTCCGAAATAAATCTTTTTGCAACGGGTCTTTCAAATATTCCAGCAAACTTGAGCGAAAAGCTTTTGCCATGGGGTCTTTCTTATGTTAAGATTTTCTACTTTAACTTTCACATTTCAAGTTATCCAATCTTGCACAAAAAGAAAAAAAAGTATTAAATTTTGAAGCTTTCACCAGTTTAACCCAAACATTACGAGCTTCTATGCAATCTTGTAAAATATGAATTGAAGAATCAAAAGAATTGCATTTAAAAAAGCAAGTTCTTTGAAGAGGAGTACTTCCTTCAATATAAGTAGATTTGAATTAAAATTTGTTTTAAGCAACCTTTTAAAAAAATATTTAATTTTTTCATGAGTAAGTCACTTTTAAATCCTTGTTCAAATGTTAAAATTGTTACAATCCTTTTAAAAAACATAATTCTATAAATAGATTTGATGTTAAAGTTACTAGTAGAAGAAGGTTTTCAAATAATGACATCATCATCCATGAGAGATTGGGTGGTCTAATCAGCATGATGAATCTTGTCATTTCAAGAAGGGGGTGACGATGCATCACATTTTATTTTATTAGAAGGGTTATGAAGCAATGTTATCAAAATCAAATTGAAATTTAAATAAAAATATTTAACAAATCATAATTTTTATAGTTTAATTAATAGGTTAGACTGATGATAGAAATAAAAAAAAAAAGAGGGAAAACTATCAAGTTATTAATATAATATTAAGATAATAATAACATCACATATGATTACTCAGATACCAAATTTGCCGCTGCTCGAGACCACCCGAGTCCAACAAGCCGTTCTGGATTTGGTGGCTCTCGAAATCCGCCAAGGAACGCGGGAACCAAAGGAGGAGGGACAGTTGGACTGGCAATGAGTGAAGCGAGAGCCACGTGTCGATTATGGAAGAAGAAGAACCATGTCAGGTGCCATCCGGGGCAGGCCAGCCTAGGCCTCCCAGGTGCCATTCGGGGCAGGCTTTTTAGTTTTCAACTCTTCACACTCCCCCCCCCCCCCCAAAAAAAAGTGTTCACACTTCATTCCGATATTCCTGCTCTTTCTAAACTTCTTAGTTTTACATTAATGACCAAACCTAACTGAGTTTAGTTTTTAATTTATTAATAGTTTACTTGATAAAAGTTTATTTGATAAAAATTAATTTAATAAAAGTTAGTTGTTGTAATAAAATTTGTGTTTGAATATATTTTTTTAAAAGTCAGTTTGATACATTGAAAGTTGTTTGGTTTGTGATAAAAAAATATATTTTTAAATGTACAATTATCAAAAAGAACATTAATTTATAATAATTTATAATTTTTATTATATAAATATAATATATTTAAAATATTTAAAAAATATAATAAAGATTTTAAATAACATAAATTTTTATCTATAATGTTAAAAATTTAATCTCTAGTTATTTGTATTTTTTAATTTATAATTTTAAAAGATGCAATAAAGTTGTATAATTTTTATTATACATTAATGTAAAAATTAACATCATTAATTACTCAATTTATAACACTAAAAAAATTTATATCTAATTATTATTATTAAAATAATAATTATATTTTTAATGAATTAACTATTTTTTAAATAAAAGAATAAGAGATTAAACTTAAAATAGTATGGTCAAATAACATCCTACTTTTTAAATTCACTTTTCAAAAGCTTCAAATAGTTATGTGTGCATTTAATTTTTAGTTTGTTAAAAGTTCATTTGGTGAAAGTTTATTTGATGAAAGTTAATTTAGTAAAAGTCAATTGTTGTAACAAAATTTGTATTTGAATATATTTTTCAAAAGTCAATTTGATACATTGAAAGTTATTTGGTTTGTGATAGAAAAATGTACTTTTGAATGTACAATTACCAAAAAGGACATTAATTTATAATGATTTATAATTTTTATTATACAAATATAATATATTTAAAAAATATAATAAAGATTTTAAATAACATAAATTTTTATCTATAATGTTAAAAATTTGATCTCTAGTTATTTGTATTTTTTAATTTGTAATTTTAAAAGTTGTAATAAAGATTTATAATTTTTATTATACATTAATGCTAAAAATTAACATGATTAATTACTCAATTTATAATACTAAAAAAATTGATACCTAATTATTATTATTAAAATAATAATTATATTTTTAATGAATTAACTATTTTTTAAATAAAAGAATAAGATATTAAACTTAAGGTAGTATGGTCAAATAACATTTTACTTTTCAAATTCACTTTTCAAAAGCTTCAAAGAGTTACGTTTCAGAAATTCACTTTCAGCTACTATTTAAATGTACTTTTAGAATGTGCTTTTTTGCAAAATGTTCTACCCAAACAATTTTTAACTTTCTGAAAGTAAAATTTTACTTTTTAAACGTGAAATGGAGGAAAATCAAACAGACCTTATGTTTTAGAAATTTACTTTCAGCTACTATTTGAATGTACTTTCAGGATGTGTTTTTCTGTAAAATGTTCTACCCAAACAACTTTTAACTTTTTAAAAGTAAAATTTTATTTTTTAAACGTGAAACGGAGAAAAACCAAACGGACCCTTACTGGGACCTCGCTTTCCACGACGAAACGCCACCACATTCCCCCTTCTCTCTGCATTGTTCAAATTTGAATTGAGCAATCTATATTTAATATTTTTCATTTTTATTTTTGACAAAAATTAATCATTCAATCCCTAATGTTATGGTCCAATAATAACTCAATTTTTTAAATTTTGACTTACTATAACTCAATTCGTATTATTTTAACTTGATTGTAGCTCAGACTTTAAATTTTTTCTTTTATAATTTAATCTGTATTATTTCAATTATTTAAATATTAATCCCTCTATTTTAAAAAATAAAATAAGGATTAAAAATATTTTAAACCTTTAATATTTATAAAGATTAATAAGGTTTAATATTTTAAAATATTAATAATAAATTTTAACATAATTTTAATCTTTTAATCTTTAACTATTATAAATATTAAAAGTTTAAAATATTTTTAATCTTTATAATTTAATTTTTAAAATATGGGCAATAGTGATTATAGTTATAGGTATTGAATTGTAAAAGAAAAAGTTCAAGAATTGAGTTATAAATAAATTAAAATAATAATAATTAAGTTATAATAAATTAAAATTTAAAAATTAAATTATAATTAAGTTAAAATTATACAGAGTGAATGATTAATATGTCCTTTTTTTATTTACTAAAACAAAAATGATACTTGCTCCTCCTATTTTATGATAACTTCAAAACAAAATGAACAACTATCAATTCTACTAAGCTTTCCACGGCAGAGCTCTCTCGCCTCACACACTTTTAATCAAATGTGGGTCAAGATTTAAACCTCAATTTCTAGAAAGAATTTGACTTTTAATCAAACAAAAGTTCTTAAATTGTTTCCCATAGTGTTCCAAAATATAGTTCAGAATGCTAGGAGGCTTGGCATGGAGTTTGAAACAACCCATGCTATAAATTAACACTCACATCATTGTTTCCATGTAACGGCTCCATAACATTTTGGGTTCGCATTGAAAAGAGAATATTTTTTTATTAGTATATAAAGAACAATATATAATATCTATTTATTTTGCTATTTTATTTACTTTTTTTAATTTAAGGGTCAGTTTCATAATATAAAATTTAGGAACTATCTTTTCTAGCATCACACTTAAAAGTAGTATTTTATAGAGGTTCAATATTGGTGCTTTTAAAAATATCTTTCATTATTAAACTCTCTTGACCTAAAACAAAGGTATTTATATCTTTGATATTAAAAATTAGTTTATTATTTTGAATAATTTCACCTTTGTCAAAAAAAAAAATTAAACAAACAAATTATACCTTTCCAAAAAGTTGACTTTCTATTATTTATATGGTCACTATAATCATGCAAGAAAAGTCACCAACATTCGGTTCGCAATTCTTCCAGTTAATTTGAACGTCTTCAATGATATTGAATCAGATACTCTCACTTAACATCGGATATACAAATGCAAGTTACAACACTATCTTTTTTTTTTTTTTTTTTTCAAAGATAAAAGGTCACCCGAAAAAGTTGCTACACTATCGTTAAAATGCCCAAAAAGATGGGAAATACTAATCTTCTCCTGAAAACTTCAATTTCTTTTTTCCTATTCACTACGTAATTATGACTCATGCACTAGATTTCACGAATGTATATATTAAATTGGGAGAACGCTGACGCGTTCATCAGCAATAACCAGCATGTGCAGACAACCATATCATCTTTGATATTCAACTGGAGCAATGGAGTACTTGATTTCCATTCAAACATATTTGTATCAGGTGAACATATTTACAGGTTGCTTGAGAAATACAAACACCAACCTAATTACACTCCCAGCCAAAACTGAAATAACTACCACTAATACACAATGACACTCGCTAGGCAGAATAACTATAATTTCATCATCAGCTTACCCTTTTATGGGTCATGTTCTAACATCTTTCAGTACACCCCCCTTTTCAAGCTCTCTAACAGATCCTTTAGGGAAGGAACCTTCATAGCCAAGGTCCGGTAAAGTCTAGAATACCGTGCTCGGGTTCCATCTGCGGTCCTTGCTAAGGCAAGCAAGCTAAGAGCCTCAGGTAATTCGGCAAATACTTGTTTCATTTCCTCCAAGCTCAAGTTTTCCAAAACTGACGGTCTAGGGGCAACCCTCACGATCTCACCACCTCTCGGTTCTTGAACTCGAGAATCCGCTTTTATGACTAGTTCTGAATTTGAATTTGCTCCACATTTGATTATGAATGGGGAGGAAGTGCCTGTGCCAAATTGAAGGACTTTCCACTGTGCCACAACGGTTTCGGATCCAGACCCCAGATCTGTTGAAGGCTTGTCAGCGTGTGATAGATCTTGAATGCTGTCATCAACTTCAGGAATCGACTACATCATTAGACAAGAGAGAAGAGAGATTTAGGAGTCACAGTACTCAGGCGAAGGTGTCATAACAAGAAGTCGCTTATGTATATTAGTAGGTTCAAATGTTGCAAAATTGGAATGGAACACGTAGCCCGCCACTATATATAAAATACAATCCAGCCCCACAGGTAAACGCATTCAATACTTCAACCACTTGGCGAGCAGCTGCAATGTGACTCTGTGCGCATGGATGATCAATTTCAAGAAACAAAGGCATCTTTTGTGTTAATTCATCCAGAGAAGCAAGCATTGCTCTTTTCTTACTTTTGCTCTGTAGAATGTATCATCATATCCTGTTAAACTAATAACTTAAATGTTGATAACGCTAAACTTAAATTTTAAAAATAATTTTGAACAAAAAAAATAGAACCTTGATTTCTTTCAACAAGCCGTCAAGTGAAATGAGAGATGCTAATTGCGTATCTTCAGCAGCAGCAGCAAAGGGATTTTGAATAGGTGAACCACCACAATCCAATGTCAAAAAAGCAGCGTCGCTTCTCATTTGTTGCTGAAGGAACATTAAATTAAAATAAAATAAAATAACCAAATAAATGAGTAGGGTCACTAGAGTATTACTAGATCCAATGTAAATTCTTGACTACCTACAAGAGTTTAGACTATTAGAATGTAAGATTATAGTGCACAACAAATACACTAAAAAGAGCAAGAGAAAGAAAGAACGAACTAAAAAATTGTTTGCTTTGGGGTGTGTACTACCACTAGCCACCTATCTCTATTTATAATAGATGGAGGCCACCTCCAAAGAAAGAAATCTAATCAATTATAATTCATTTCATTATAGAAGGAATGAATTGATTGGAATAATCACCATTATTATGAAGGATTACTTCTCCATTTGGAATTCAATCAAAAATTAATCAAATTAATTTCAAATTTTGGTCAACTCATCATTACCACATTTATGTCATATCCCACCAATGGCTTGTCAAAGGCAAATTTTATGCAAATTCTAACATCTCCCTCTTGCATTTAATGAGACTTCCATCATATGAATCTTATCTCTCTAAATTCATACTTGATGTTCTATCGTGATCATATGAGCATGATGTGCTCAATTTGGATGTTTGTGAACTAAAAATCCTATGATAGGATCCCTGATGGAATCAACACACAAGAACATCCCATGGTATACTTGTATTGTAGTTATGTGTTACCTCAAGCACCCTAGATTTATCCATACACATTACTCATATCATATCTAATTCCTCTTGAGTTAATTATTTCATTCAAATTGCTTTCTCATATACTTAGTACCTGCACTTACAATTATTTAACTGTATGGGCTTTAGAATTTTTGTGTGAAATTGTTAAAGCCTGGTTAGGGGGACACACACAGATGGTGGAGCTAATTAATGTGGTTCCATTTTTAAGACCTTTACATTGAGTAGTTACTTCAAGGGAGCGGTCAATCATTACAGTGGTTCTAGTGGTGGGGTTTAAAGAGGAAGAAGACTGATGGGATGCCATAATTGATGACTTGGAACTCTACTCCACAAGACTTGCATGCATGGTCTTTAAGCAAAGGAGGATTAGGGTCAACATGGAGAATGAAAAAAAGAAAAGGAGATGAGAAGGAAGTGAACTATGATGGATTTTAGATGTTGACACCTAACATTATTGTAGGACTCATCCAACAAAAGTAATGGACATTTACCACTCTTAATGATATAGGGAAAAATGCACCCATTAAAACAATACTATTACAAAATAATTTTATAGGAGCACTTATTTTTGGAAGCACTCTTATAAAGGTGACCTACTAGAGCGCTTTGTAAAAGCACTCTCGTATAGGTCAAGAAAAGCACTCCCTTTAGATGACCATATAGGCATATAGGAGCTCTCTTCATATGAGCGCTCCCCGTATACCTCCATATATACTAGAGCGCTCTTTATAAGAGCATCTTATATATAAGCATATGAGAATGCTCTTCATATATAGGGGTATATTGAAGCGCTCTTTATATAAACGCTCCTTTATGTGCCCTTTACTGGAGCGCTCTAACACTCTTATATGTATTTTTTATTTTTTAAGAATTTAAATTTTTTAAAACTACCTCATGTTTATCTCTTAAAAATGACTAATCACAATATTAAAAATTAATCCAAAAATAATATTATTGAACATAAAAATTTGCATACAATGAAAGAACTTGATACCGTACGTCCTTGCTCTTTCTTGAAATGTGGAGTAATGTGCTAACAAGATGGTCACAGACATTCTTTTCGATGGCATCATGTCAAGGAAATGCCTAACATCTAGAGTTTTCCAGTATGGCAGTTCAAATTTCCAACCATTTTTAACAATCTTACTTGTAAATAATTTTTCAAATTTGATATTTAAATCTTTAATCTTTTCAAAGAGCTACTCACTAGGTAATGGCAAAAGAACTCTACCCTTTTTTGGGTGGCGATTAAAGGCCTTCTTCAACCGTCAGTAATGATGTGTTTGTGATAAATATTGACAATGATTAATGAAAATGTTCTTCCTATAATGTTTCAATCATACTAAACAAGCGTGCTCCTCACAAACTAGGCAGGCATCTCACATTTTGATATTATATCCTGACAAATAGCCATAGGCAAGAAAATCATTTATGGTACTAAATAACATTACTCACAGGATGAAATGTTCTTCTCTATATCCATCATAAACTTTCATAAGTGTCTCTCATAGTATCTTTAGATCTTCAATTAATGAAGTTAAGTACACATCTATATCATTTTCTAGTTGTTGAGGCCTATAAATTAATAATGACAGCATCATAAACTTGCGCTTCATGCACAGCCGTGGAGAAAGGCTATGGAACATCAAAATCACCGGCCATATACTATAAGTATTACTTTACATGCCATAAAGGTTCATTTTGTCAATGGCTAATACAAGGCAAAGGTTTATATCTTCAATCCCTAACTTAGGGTATATAAGATCAAACTTTTTTCATTAAGGAGAATCTGCAAGGTGCCATAGCTTGCCATCCTTAATTTTCTTGTTAGCATGTCATGTTAAATGTTTAGCATCTTCTGCAATCCTATATAGGTGTCTAAATCTTAGTATGATTGAAAAAAACCATAACACCTTCATTGGGCAACATCCATTCCTCTTGTACCTTAAGGCATTGCATTTTAGACACTTATATAAGGTTGAATACTCTTTTCAAAAGAGGACACAATCATTTGGATATGCATGTATCTTCTCATAGCTCATTCCAATATAATAGAACAATTTTTTGGCCTCAGAATATTAGGTAAAATCTCATTGTACTCTAACATCTCCTCATACAAGAGTTTAAGAAAATTTGTGAAACTCTCATCTCTCCATCCATTAGCAGCTTTTAGATTGTACAATTTTAAAAAAACTGATAGTTTTGTGAATTTCTTACAACTGGGGTATAATAGTTTATCAATATCACTTTTCAACTTCTAGAACATCTCAGGACAGTCCTTAAAATCCTCTTCAATCACATCAATCACATCAAGACAATTAACATCATATGTCCTATTATCATGATTAAATGTCGAGTAGCTCAAACTATCCCTGTAATCACTAATGTTATTCCTTGTTTCCCTATGCATGGTTCAACAAGTATAAGTTAGATCAATCCCATTACATATCAAATGATCTTTCAATTCTATTGGCCTTACTTTTTTCCATAGCAACATAAACAAGGACATGTAACTCTACAGGGGTCTTGATTATGACAAAATGCAAACTCAATAAACTCATTCACATCATCCCAATATTCTCTAGATAGTCGATTAGCCGACATTCATTTACAATCCAAATCACTAACATAGTGATAAAAATTCAAGAAAAAATGACTTAGATTTTTTTTTCTAAAGGAAAAACCTCCCAAATAATCAAATCATACAACACAATACATTTAAACTAAATAAATCAATTCATTCAAATAAAAATTTAGTTACATTAATCCGTTTAAATGCCACCAATCAATTGTAATTTAACAATAATCTTTTCTAAAAGTGAAACATCCCAAAGAAAATAAACACATTTCATAAATAAAATTAAAAAGTTCAGATATCTTCCTCCACAATATTAAACTTCCATTCATCATAATTCATACTACATTCAACTTTAAGCTAATAAAGTTAACAACTTCAAATTCTTAGTAATTCCTATCACAGATTATTAATATATTTTTATATCTAAATTATTCTAAAATTTATATGAGGATTTATTATAACATTAATTATTAAAAAAATACCTTGAGTCTTTTTTGGTGGCTTCACACAGCAACGGACAACAGTCGGCGGTTGGAGTAGAGTGATCGATGACCTTGGATGACAACTTCACGATGACAGACAGTGCTGCTTCGAGTTGGAGAGCATTTTTCAAGCGCCTCTTCACAGGGACAGATGGCGCTGGTAGAGAAATAGCGACGACAGTGATGCAGATCCACGATTTCAAAACACAGATCCGTGACTTTAAACCTTAGAACAATGAGTGAATAGAGGGAAAATGCAGAAGACAACAGAAGCACAAATAGATGGTGGCAAACTGGACAGTCAAAGAAGGAATGTACGAAGATGTCATGCGGACGGACAACTTCGAGAGAGAGAGAGAGAGAGAGGAAGAAAAGCAAACTGAATAAAAAAACTAAAATTGATAGGGGATAGGGCCATCTATTAAGTATTTCAAAAAAATCCTATTAATTATTTCAAAAAAATTGCGGGCCTTTCCAAGCGCTCTTTACTGAACACTCCAAAAGGTAAACTTCTGCAATGTTTAAGGGTGCTCAATTTAAGACCGCTCTTAAAAGGCTTAATTTTTTTTTAAATTTTTTAATGATACATTTTAGAAGCGTTCTTATAAAAAGTGCTCCGAAATGCCTAACATATAGGGTTGCTTTTTATGACAAGTGCTCTAATAAGTTTTACCTGACTTATCAAAAGATTTTTTTATTTCAGCGCTCTAAAAAACCGCTCAAGTATATGTATTTTGTAGTAGTGCAAATTCATTGATATTTTTACACCCTCCTTTATTGAAGGATACTGAGTGCTCCTAAAAAAAACTTGATGGTATTTTTTTCATTTGACTTGATCTATCACATGACTAGGAGTGTATTCATAGAAGTTTGCATTAATCATAAAAGAAATCTGCTTTTACTCATCTCAGCCTTTTTATGTATTTGTCTCATAATATTGTCAAAAGTCGCTTTTGACTTTTAGACAAAGTAGTTTGCTTTAATCACATTAGTCTATTTTTACCCTTGTTTTTACTTTTATCTCATAATTAAATATGTGAAAGATACCACGGGTGGCAAAGCTATCAATGTCTAGTCTAATTTGACTAGAATCAGGTTGGAACCATTTTACTTGAGGTCTATCATGATCCAAATATTTGGAGTTTTAATTGTGGGTTGATGCTATTGATAATGGCTTGGATATGTTGATATAGAACAAGGTGATGTTTCAAAAGAGAATCTTCTTCAGTATGGATGAATTTGCATTTCACCTTCCAAGTGGAGGAGTCACTGTGAGTGAACTTGAATCAAGATTGGCATTGGAATGACTTCACCCTCATTAACCCTAATTTACTATTACTAATATTTTATTTTATAATTGTGGTCTGTAGTGGGATTCTTTACGACTGAACCGATGCTTGACAGACTCAAAGAGCCCACTTTCTGAGGGTCTCCTCAGCTGTGGCCCCATACTAATCATTGTCTATATTGCTGAGGTTAGTGCCTTCATTTTATGCTCAGTGCTTTTTCTTCTCTTCTTAATCCTAGTTTGACTACACAGCCTTGACCGACTTCTTAAACTGATCTCGTCAATGTATAATTAGAATGCTCATTTTGTGATTGACCTATCCTTTATGTTATATTTGAATGTATATGAATTTAAATCTGAATTTAAATTTGAGCAAAATATATTACTTAATTAATTAAAAATATATAGATTTGAATTAGACGTAAATTTAAATCCTAATCTTACCTCAATTTTTTTATAATTTAAAATTATTTTTAAATTTTTATTATTTCAATTTCAAATATCTAAATCCATCAGGATTGCACTGTTGGCATCGGCCAACAGCCAACTTCAACAGAGACTAGATTGTCGGCTGACTTTTCTCATCTCTTGTATCCTATCATTTAAAAAATAAAAGGAAACTTATCACTTTTAATTTTTATTTTTTAAGTTTTTCTTTTGAATTTCAACTGATCTCTCTTCTTCATTTAAAATTTTTAAACTGTTCAAATAAAATATTGTAAATACATAAATTTTAAATATAAGATTTAAAATATGATATATCTAAAATTTAAATCCAAATGCTACCTTAAATTAATAATAGTATCATATAACAAATGGTTTTTATTTTTCTTAAAATAAATTAGACAGTGGATATGTCGTTACTTGTTATTTGGAAAACAGCAAGAGAAGGAAAGATCGAGCAACGCGACAGAAAATGAAAACCCAAGAAGGTCATAATTTTAATTTATTGGATTAAAGAAATTAAAAGTAGGTGCAGGCTTTTTTTTTTTTTTTCTTTTTCAAATTTTGGGGTGAATGTGTGTTTGTTATTGAACACATGACGTGCCTCGGTTACGGACTCCAAAAAGTATTATTTATGCATGCATGTATATGCATAATGCATGTAACCGATCAACATATTCATCCGCATCCCAAAATGTTTCCAATTATGTTCTATGTATGTGGACCATCCATCCGAATTTGTATGTGGTATTCATTATTTCATTATCCACCATCCACCATCCATCCACGTAAGCTTTACGTCCTATGATATGTATAATTGAAAATGAATTTAGTTAAATATGAAGAATCAATCAGCCTTTTCAAAACCAAATTACCTTGTTTAGACGACAAATATTTATTAAATCTTGCCAGCTTAGTTGGCCTGAATGATAAAATTAAGTTCTCATTACTTAAACAAGTGATTGGGGTTAGAGATTTAATTCTTCTAAATCCAAGATAAAGAGGATATCAAAAAACAATAAACAGTAAAGCTAAGCCAGGCTTGGTGACGTTACATGAAACGTTGTTAAGCAAGGAATCATTGTTATTCAAACTTCAATTGAGTAGCAACCTTATTTATAATGAAAATTAAATTTTTAATGTTCAAACAATTAGTTGTCAATATGCAAACTCGACTTCTCAATATTCAAGAAATAAGTGAAATTATATGAACCAATGGCATTGTTTTAATAATTGAACCATGAGATTTAATTTCAGTTGAGGACATTCGACATGCAAAAATGTTTTAAGATTTATTTAGCTTGTATGCAATTATTCCTATTGGATGCTTTGGTTGAGATTCTCCCTATTTTTTAGATTTAAGCTAACACTAAATGACCAATATCATGATTTTAATATATACTGCACACACACACACACACACACACACACATAGATAAATAAAGAGAAGTTTTCCTGGGTCATTCCTCTGAAAAGATTCTGAGGCTTCTAGATTGTGGTATTTGACAGGAAATGGAAGAGAACAAAGCAATTCAATTTAGTGGTTATATAAAGGTGAGCACTGAGCATATATCCTCGAGTGTTCGGTTCAATATTTTTTTTTTCATTTTTTAAAAAACAAAATGCAAATGCAAGCAATAAGATCCACTGGGAGAATAAAGTACAGCTTAAAATTTTTGCCTCTGAATGAACCACTTTTTCTGCCCTCCTCTCCTTTCCTTTCCAAGCACGATAACGGATAGGAGGATGAGGCACAGGACGGATCTAGAGTTCAATAGTTGAGGGGCCAAATTGAAAAGAAAATAAAGAACGGGGGCCAAAATCCATCGTAAACTATTTTACAAGAAAAAAAGTATAATTTTTATAAGGAAAAATAGCATGTAAGGATCATAATATCAAATTAATATCCGTCAAGGGTAAATTAATTTTAAAATTGCACTGCAATGTTTTAGTCATTGATTGATATTAATTTGTCATGTCATAATACCAAATGGCCCTTAAGCTAAAAAAAAGCTACCCTCCACTAGTGTTAGTGTCGACCGCCCACCACCAAAGCCCCTCTCAAAGGCAGGATTACTGACAGCCTATCACTGAAGCTTCAATGCTAGCAACATTTTTATTTAACAATAATTGGTTTAAGTTGCCGGAGGGTTTGAGCTCATGAACCCTTTACCATTTAAGAAGCTTGGCCCTTTAATTATATATGGCAATATATATATATATGAGAAATAAACTAAACTTTTAACCATTTTCATGTTATAACATAATAATATGTTATTAATTTCTGAACGACACTTGTTATTTTATTAATATTACTTATTAATCTGACATACACAATTACAAATTATGAGTTTTAAAATTTCATGCATTTTATATATTAAAAGTTTGAATATATTGTTATTCATTACAAATAGGTTAGGGCGAAACCCAAGCATATTCTTGTTAATGAAAGACTAACATGCACAATTAAATATATTCTATCATTTTTTTCACTTGTTAAATATGAATAAATTATTGTTAATTTTGAATAAATTATTGTAAAAATCTAAATGTATGCTTGTTGATGAATGGCTAGCACTTGTTCCATTAACCAATCTTATCCATTTTCTTAACTTTTTAAAACCCAAATGGACTGTTGTTAATTTATAATGAGTTATCATTAAAATTCAAATTGATACTTGTTGATGAAAGACTAACACATACAATTAAATTTATCCTATTAGTTTTTTTTACTAAAATTCAAATAAATTGTTGTTAATTTTGAATGAAGTGTTAAAACCTAAATGAATATTTATTGATGAAAGACTAACATGTACAATTATGCTCATTCTATTCGTTTTTCTAACTTCTTAAAAATTGAATAGACTGTTGTTAATTTATAATGACTTTTTATTTATATTCTTTTTTCATTAAACATGTACTTTTAATCATTGACATTAAATATCTATGTAAATTTTGATAATAATACATTCAAATTAATAATTGTTATTAACAATTGTTACTATTGAAATGAATAAATGATATATAAAAAATAAACAACTAATATACAAAAAATAAGCAAGTAACGTATGAAAAATGAAAAATAAAAAACAAAAAACTGATGTACTAAAACCTGCAACTTTCATTAACATTATAGTACCATTAAAAATATAAATAAGTAAGCTAGGTGTGATATATAGAAAATGAATTAGATGAAATAAAAGTTACAATGAATTGCAAATTCCACTAGTGTCAACTGATCATTGTTCATACCGCACCGGTACTTTATTATTATTATTATTTTTTATATGAGTTGTTTATAACCAGGTATAATAAATTCATTTCACGAATGTGGCGAAATTTTAAAATTTTAGGGAGTTTGGCTGAAATTAAGTTTGGTACTCACTGAAATTTTCACATTCTCGTCAAGTTATATGCCACATCAAGAAACTAGGTTGCTTTCTGTTTCGTAATTTAAAACTCAACAGAATCATCCGAAAAATAGAGGGAGATTCAGGGGACCTCCTCAGCTAACGTGGTTTTTAAGCATTTAGAAAAAAAAAAAACAGAAAAGTAAGAAAAAGAAAAGCAGACAACACAATTTCCGTCGTTTC